GCTGCGAAGCGCAAGCTCTCTGTGTCCCCATGGGCATTTGATGTGCTGCAGGCTGGAAACCATCGGTGGAGGTGTCAGCAGGTCCCATCCTGGCCCCCAGGCTGGGCAGCCATGCGTGGTTATGGAGCATGGTGGGCACCGTGCTGGTGACACTGGTGGCTGCAGGTGCTTGTGCCCTGAGCTCCACTGATAACTGCAGTACGGGGCCATCTTCACCCCCAGGGCCATGCACATGGTCACTCGGTGTTGTGGGGACACCACAGGTAAGGAGGACAGAGCTGCACGGGTGAAGACCTGGCTCCCCCAAGCAGACCTGGCTCCCTTGAGCAGAAGGCAGTTGCCTTCTGTGGAGGTGCTGCCTGAGCCAGGGGAGAGGATGGTTCGGTGCTGCCGTGGGTTTCCGGAGATGCTGTCTAAGGCCTGCCCTGCCATCTAACGGACAGGGAACACTGAGCAAGTGAGGCGAGCAAGTCTGAAGTGAGGTTGCACCTAGAGCGCGTTTTGCCCACGCTGGTGGGGTTTGAAACCATCCTCTGGCATGACCTGTGGGCACCTCCAGAGAGCTGGGGCATGTGTATGAGACCAACGATCCCAAAAACAAGGCACAGAAGGACCATGAAGGGTCCATATCACATCCATGTGTGACATAGAGTGGACGTGGTTCTGCTTACAGGACACTAGTCTACCCCAAAAGCAGGAGCTGGTTCTCCATGCAGTATGCGTGGGTGTTAGAAACTTGTAGTTGCCACTGGGTGTCAGAAGCTTGTAGGCTTGAAGGGGTGGCTTGTGGAAGGAGAACCCAATGCTAGGGGGTTGCTGGATAGATGGGGATCAGCTTGGGCACCCTGCAAAGGTCCCATTGCCACCAGCACCTGGTGATCCCCATGTCCTCTGCGTTTCGCAGCACGAGGAGGCGGCGAGCCACAACCGCACCGTGGAGCAGCGCGTGCAGGAGCTGGAGCAGCGCTACAGCGAGGCCAGCACCCTGCAGCACATCCAGGCCACGCTGCTCTACGACATGCAGGCACAGATCAACAACATCTCCGTGCTGGCCGATTGGAGCCGGCGTGTCCCCGGCTGCCTCGGCCCCGCCGAGATGAGGCTGCAGGAGGAGATGCACCATCCAGGTGACGGGGACGGGTGGGGGTGGCTTCGTAAGGCCTCTCTTGAGGACTGTTGTATGAAAAGCACATGGGAAAACCACTTCAATCCCACTTTGCATTAGCCGGGGGTCTCATCTCTCCCAGATGGCATTCCCGAGGGAGTCAGGAGAGCTTCTTGGAGGAATAGACATCTCCTGGGGTGCTTTCCTTGTGGTCCAGGTGACCTCAAGGTGACCAGCTTCAGCCTGGAGCACCACACGGCAACGCTCCCACCATTACTCCACCTGCAGTTGGCTGTGTGAACCTGCCTTCCATCACCAGGAAGTCTATTTTTCTCTTAAAGGAAAGGAATAAGACATCATTTTTGTTTCCAAAATTCATGGCCAAATATTAGGGCTTTGAGAAAGCACAACAAATTTGAAAACCAATCTTGTATTTTGGTATTTCCTACTCCTTTTTTAAAGGAATACATTTAAACTTACGCCTGATTTTGGTGTTTGGTTGTTAATTCCTGGGATGTCATCCTTTTTCTAGTGGCAAGCATGACAATTTTAGGTAAAAAAGTGCAAGATTCAGCTTGACCAAAACTCCATTTTCTGCTAAAAAAAAAAAAAAAATCCATTGCCGTGAAAATATTTTGACCGCAGCCTACTATAACCGGGATCTGGAAAACTCAACTTTGAGGAGCTGGGAAGGAAAGTGTGCTGGTCTTTCAATCTGTTTGATTTTCTGAGTGTTTAGTAAGGGAGTGATGGTGTTTGAGGAGACACAACGGGTGCCAGGGCGGACCACAGATCCTGTCTCTGCCACCGCAGACCCCCAGGAAGAGTTTTAGCAAGGGGCAAGGAAGAAGCGATGCTTTTCCGGAATAATCCCCCAACCTGCCGCGAACGGTGGCTCGGGGACATGTAGAGACAGTGTCTTGCTCCAGCAAGAAGCAGGCTGTGTCCGATGACTCACACGGCGTGCACAGCTCAACGCGACGGAGCCGCTAACGGCTTTCACCTACCAACCTTGATCTCGTTTGAGCGGGTGACGTCAGGTGGAGAAGTCGTGTCACTTCTCCCTTGAGCCAACTAGCCTAAGTCTTTTCCATTGCGTGGGCTTAAAGCTCTTTGGGCCATCGATGACATGGTGAAGGGAGTATAAATGGCTCTGCTGATACCTGGTTCCACTGCCCTGATCAAGCAGCACCTGGAGCAGACGCAAGGTGTGAATGGGCACGCGACGGAGCGCCCGCACAGCGGGACGGCCACCTGCAAGGCAGAGCTGGGGCTAATCCCTGTCACCTTATGTAACCGGGACGCGACTCCTCCGTGCACGAGTCAACGGGCCAGGAAAACCCCGGCCTGGGTGCAGCCAAGGAAAGCGGCTCTTGTAGCTGATTAACGCTGGGTGCGTTGGGCTCTTCCTGACACTCCAGGTGCTCGCTGGGTCTAGAGCATGGATCTCTCCCTGGCCGCTCCTTGTTGCACACAATTGGTTTCTGCTGGTTGGCCTGGCCTATGCCACCCCTAAGGGATGTCACCAACCTGCCACCAGTCTCCCAGGCACTGATTGCTCCCATCAGTGGGTTGGGGTGCTGCCATGACCTCCCCAGATTTATTTCACCCTGCACAGAGAGTTTTCCTTGCTTGCCAGATCCATGGCCTCATCCATGCTCCTTGCCTCATGGAAGGACAATGACCCGTGCGTGCTCTTTGCTTTTCCATCCTTGGGTCCCAGACCTCACCATGCTTCCAGCCAGGCATCACGGCCGCACTGTGCTCCAAACTGGTCTAACTGTGTCAATAAAAGAAAGGGGAGCCTTCTGTGTGAGCTGCTCTTGTGCCTTTCCTTCCATCTCGCTGGAACGTCGCCATCGACAGCAAGGCTCAGCTCACAAAAGACGATGTCTAATCTTGTGTGTCTGCACATGTGCGTCCCCACATGAGCTGGGAACTTGAGATATCCATGCAAACACTGGGAAAGGGGCTCAGGAGAGCAGTTCAGCTCGGCTACCTGCATACAGGCGCCTAGTGCTGCCTGCAACACTCCTGCATCCGAGACATCCTCGCGAGCCTGGCAGATGCAGGACGGGACCTCCCGGAGAGGCGCAGCTGCAAGGCAGCCCGAGTACCCCAGGGCATTGCAAAAATCACTGTGCACATCTGTGCAGACAGCTCGACTGAGCCGATGGAGGGAGACGGAGAGCAGCTCCGCTCTGCTCTCCTGGGCGACGCTAGGAAGGTTGCCCTCTGCAGAAGTCGTTTTTAGGAGACTACCTGGGAGCAGCTGCCTAAAGATTGGGTGGCTGGTACCTGACAGGGTAAATCCCATCTGATATGACCCAGTGAAAAGCATCTTTAGATTCTCTTTAGACTTCTGATCCTTTTCCTTATACATCTGGCCAGGGAAAACACCCTTAGAGCAGCTGTTTAAGAGGAGAAAATCCTTTCACCGTTAGCGTCACTGACAACTGCTGGCGAAGCAGGCAATCTCTATCAATGTGTAGGACCTTTTTGGTGTGAAATATAATCTACCAGACCTAGAGCCTAGCAAAATGCACGACATATCTGTGCTGCTGCAAGGCTCTGTCACAAGCCCGCTTGAAATAAGGACCGTCCCTCAGCCCCAGCAACCTAAGTGCAGATATGCACAAATGAAACTTATTACTGGTAGGCCATGGATCAGCCCATGGCTGCAAAGGTTTCAGCTTTTGCTGCTGCCCAGAAGAAGAATTTCATAGCTTTTTGTCAGGCTGCACATTATGATTGCATGAAAATGGTGCTGGGCTTGGTTGCAGACCTCCTTCTCCATACTGAATACTAAACACTATGTAAACACTGTGTTTCTCTGCTTTATTTATCCATTTTTTTCTTAGAAGTCAAGCATGCAAGGAACTGCCCCATTGACTGTGCCTCTGTTTACTACAACGGGCTCCGGAGAACAGGGATCTACAGCATCATGCCCTCGGTTGGAGGGATGCCCATTGAGGTCCTCTGTGAAATGGACACCGAAGGTACTGTGGAGGCATCCTCAACATCTCCCAGCAAAGCTGGGGACACTCTGGGTGGGATTTGTCCCCCTTGACAGTCGTGTCTTGTCTGAGCTGCTTCTAGATAACATTACAGTCATTGAGAACAGCGTCTCCTCAAGGGATCCTTCAAGGATGGAGGACTTGACCACTGGCTAAAGAGGGACTTCAGCTGAATAGTTCAAGCCAGGCACTTTGGTTGGTGCTCAGATGCCTAAATACAGGTGTTGAGTGCCCTTTGAGATGTCCTTATGCATGCAAGATACTTGCAAAGTGCTAGTGCGTATGATGTGGGAGACAGGGAAGCAGAAGCCCCTCTGGAATAGTGGCAGGTCACCAGGTGGGCGCTTGGGGCATCTCTGGCTACTGGAGGGCTATGTGTGGGCAACCCTTAACTGTAGCTGATGGTGTCCCATACCACCATTGACCTTGTGCCTATCTACTAGCCCGTGCAGATGTCTCAGAGACCAAGCACATCTCAAAGGACAGTAGATGCCGCTGATTAAATATCTGAACAGAGCTCCTAGTTCTTTCTGAGCCTAGCACTTTGATAAAAAAAAAAAAGGAGCTGGACAGACCGGTTCCTTCCCAGTTGGAGGAAACCAGTCTGAAGGACCTACAGGTGCTTGCTGCTTTTGGATAGAAGTCATCATTAAAAAATAGGCTGTTGATGCAGTGTGGTGGCTATTATGTCATTACTGTTATTTGTATGACCATGTCCATGATCTTGGACATGGGAATGTGTCTGTCAAAACATCAAATAAATAGACGGTCCCTGTCCCTTCAAAGCTTACAGTATTGGAAAAAAAGGAGAGAGGGATTTGGACAGATGGGAGAGCAGATGGAGACAGTGAGACAATACTGGGAGAGCGCTCGTGTACCTCTGCTGTTCTGCAGGAACAGTACATAGCAATCTCAAAACTCCAGGCTCTCCAGTTCCTTCCAGCCCCAAAACATTCCCCTCTAAAATAATCAGCTTTTTCTCATTTACAACCACCTTAGAGCTGGTACGACCCTCTTGTAGGCAACAGGGCAATAGCATCTTGGAACCAACATGGGAGAAGCAGAGCCCCTTTCTTGGAGCTCAGGCTGTTCATCATGGATGGACCCCATGCAGCAACCAACACTGTATTTTGCTGGTTGGTGGGAGGGGGTGTGACAAGAAGACACCTCTGAGCTGCAGCTGGTGATGCTGGTGAGGACTCTGACCCACGTGTGCGCATTGGGACCCCGGACATGCCTTGGTGTTTCCCGTGTTATGTTATCTCCCTCCTGGCAGGTGGGGGCTGGACAGTCATCCAGAAGCGTCAGGACGGCTCAGTTGACTTCAACCGCACCTGGAACGACTATAAAGAGGGCTTTGGGGATCTCAACGGTGAGTTCTGGCTGGGCAACGAGAACATCCACAAGGTGACGAACCAAGGGGACTACTCCCTGCGCATCGACCTGGAGGACTGGAACAACAAGCACAAACACGCCTTCTACCAGATCTTCAGGTAGAAAGTGGGATGACACCCCCTGGTTCTTGGCACACACATCTGGGTTCAGTGCTGGAGGACCCCGTTGTAGTCAAAGTGACTCTCCCTAGAGAGCTTTTTGGACTGGGTCTTCTCTTCCTCGCCTGCTTTGACCGTGAAAACTCTGGCCCCACATTGGAGCCTGAGCGTGAGCTAGAGAATGCCCAGCACTGCTCAGGCATGGCCAACATCCACAAGGAACCATCCCTTACAGCTTAGGACTGTTGTTTCTGCTGAACTTCCTTAGCTCCATGCCCAAAGCAGAGTTCTGCACCCCTGTTCTTGCTGGGCAGGTCCTTCAGCACCTCCCTGCTGTGACGGCTGAGAATCACATTTTGTTTTTCACTCTGTGCTCATGGCTCTTGCCTTCTGTTCCTGAGCCAGCACCCTTTAGTGTCTACAGCTCTGCACATTGCCTGGTGTTGGTATTTCTCAGCATCTGTCACATTCTTTTATGAACGGGTTGACCAGCTCTGCCTAGACTGTCCCAGATGAACCTCTTCCCTCTCTCCACCAGAAACTCCTTGTGGGTAGTTACAAGATTCCCAGTCATGGGAGGATGCGCAAGGGAGTACATGTCCTTAAGCATTGCACTTTAACGACTTTAATGACATCTGGAGCTGGCGGGTTTAGAGTAGACCCAAAGATTGCTGCAGCTGCTGGGCAAAATCCTCGTTGACTGAATGTGCCCAGGAGCGTTCCGCACTAGCAGAGGGTTGCCCTGAACAGCTACCCTGGCTTTTGTCATCAGATATCGTGCTCAGTGGCAGTGACCTTCAGCTTTTGCTGGCCCGGGAGCAAACTACTGATTAGCTCAGTTCATGTGAAGAGCAAGAAGCTTCTTTGGTGGAGAGGAGGCAGCACCGTGTAATTAGAGGAGCCGTCTCGCCAAAGCTGCTGCCGTCTTTCATTGTGGTTTGAGAGCCACGGTCGGCCCACCCCAGGCTCCCAACAAGTACCCTGAGTCATGACAAAAGCACATGCATCCCACAGAAGGGCGAAACGCAGCATCTTCTGCATTTAAAGATGATGAATAATTACAAGGAGCTTGGCTGGAGCAGCTTGGTAATTGTAGGGTGTCCACACTAAGAATGCAACATCCAGCCTGGAAAGGAGACGGAGACGCTGTTGCTAAGTAGTCTGAGCTGTTCCTATTGCTTGCAGCATCGAGGACGAGGCAAACTATTACCGCCTGCACGTGGATGGGTTCAGCGGGACGGTGGAGGACTCCTTTGCCTGGTACCATAACAAGAGGAGCTTCAGCACTCCTGACTCGGGGAACATCTGTGCTGAGATTTCCCATGGAGGCTGGTGGTACCATCAGTGCTTCTTCTCCAACCTCAATGGCGTGTACTACAAGGTAAGGTGGAAGGGGGAGGACGCAGGTGTCACCATGGCAGGTCCAAGGCTAGGAGGGACCATCAGTCATCACGTCACAGCAATCCTTGGCTTGACCAGGGAGGGAATGAAACCAAGGCTGGGCACCAATTCAGCCCAGCTTCTCTGTGTTGTGGGCCAAGTATGAGTGTTGAGACATCCTTGCAAAAAAATGGCTTTGGGATTGTGCAATGGCAGCTCCCTGTTTGGGTGACTCACGTGGCCTGAGACTGAGGGACATCACCTCCCTTGGGAGCATTCAGAAAATGCTTTACGTGCTCCTTTTGCTGTATCATCTCCAAGCTCTTTGCTTCCATGCTTTGGAGCACCCATTTTTTAGGAGTTCCCATCTGGGTGACACTTTCTTGCATTTCCCATACCTGACTGTCCTTTCCCTGCCTCACAGGGTGGCCGATACTCCATTAAAAACCGCAAGATCCTGGGGCCGGACGGTGTCGTGTGGTACTCGTGGAAGGACACAGACTACTACTCGCTGAAGAAGGTCGTCATGATGATTCGACCACGTACTTTCCGGCCCCATATCTCTCCGTGAAGGAGCCTGGGGTGGTCTTTGTTTCTTCTAGTGGCAAACCCTGGAATCAGAGGGCTGGAAGTAGTTTTCTTTAAGAAGAAACTGTTGCTGGAGAGCGCTGAGAGATGGAGCCACCATCCCTCTTGCTGCCCGTTTGCTTTTGGATCAGTGTCAAGGACAAACAGCAGGAGCGCCAAGGCCTTTGACATGCGTTGGGTGGCAAGAGCTCTCCTAGACCATCTAGGGAAGGTGATGCCTTTGCAAAATCAAGCACAGGGATGTGCGAGGAGGGCTCTAAGGTGCTGAGATGGTCCCTGGGGAAGGCAGGGAGAGCCGGGACACACAGTGGCCATCGCCATCTCTCACTGGGATCTTGTGTTTCACCCATGGACCTTAGCTACCTGCAATAATTGTGTTCCAAGTAAAAGGATTTAAAAGTCAGAATGCTGGAAGCGACCACTTTGCATTCCCATTTCATGTCTTCATCCCTCCTTGAGCAAAGAATTTCTGATGAATTTTCTAACTAACTACCTTAAAAGTGGTCTGCAGGGATGGATGGATGGATGATTTTAAAAGTCATCTTTTTTTGCTGCCTTACTGTGGGTAAAGAAGATGCAAGACTTGTGGTGGTGGTCTTTTATTCTTTGTTTTCATTTGAAGTTGCAGCAAGATCCCCTCCTTTTTCTCCTGGCTTTGCCTCCTTGCAGGATCTAGAGATGGAGACTGTGACTTAGATTCATCCCTTTTCGTGTTCGGTGATGAATATTTGATTAGATTTCCTCTTTCCTGTTTCATGGGAGCAGATGAGTTCAAAGCAGGTTCAGAGAACAAGAATGGCAGGCGCATTAGAGACACAGCACTGCTCCTCTCAACTAATTGTCTCTCGCTTGGTGCTGGGTTAGCTCCCTGGTGGTTTCTGTAGCTTTCATTCTGGTCTGGACTATGTTCTTTCTCCTGTATCTTCATTTTTCACTGGCAAATCGAGCAGAAAAGTCACCTATACATCCTAAAAACTGTTATCTCAAGCTATAAAACAACAAAATTCATCCTTCCCTTTGCTAGGCTTGCCTCAGCAGTCCTCCTGGATCTGTCCCACATGCGTTTGATGATGACCTGGTGTTGCAACGGGCTGGTCTACAGTGATGCGATCCCACGGCTTACAATGTATATCGGGACACGTCCACGTTGCTGGTGGTGGGATGGAGGAGGGATGGAGAAGGTCCTTGCTCTGTGGCGCATGTGTCTGCAACAACACTGCTACTCCAGACTCCGACCCTCTGCCATTACATTGCAGGCTTGAAACACAGCTGATCCGAAAAACTCTGGTGTTCATCAGCTAAGCAATGTGCTGCTAAGAAACTAATAAATCACTTGAATAATCAATAACCCAAATAACTAATAATCACATCATAGTTATTACTCTACAATTTTGATTTTTCACATTGCTAAATGCCACAATAAAGGTATCACTCTTAAATTGCTTGAATTGCTCATAGCTACTGCCGAATTACAATTCTCCATTTTCTGTTTCTGGATCCACCCATTTCCTCCACTTGTACCTCTCTCTCTCAAATTCCAAATGAATTACCTAACCCTAACTAGATTTTCCCCTTGCTTCCAGTCCTGCTTCATCCATTGCCGTGCTCCATGTATCTCCAGTCCCGCAACTGGAAAAGTAATCTGAACGGAGACTGGGAGAAAAGCAGGGAAGGGCTCCTGGGGAATGACCATTCCCGAGAAACCCTCCATGAGCTGCACATGGCCAGAGAGCTGGGTCTGTAGATACCCTGGGGGTCCCAAATGCATCAATTCCCCTTGGGGTGTGTTTAGGCCAATAAAATATATGGAAACATAAGTATTTTGTTTGGGGTGGAATGATGTGGCTGCTCAGCCTCCCCCTGCCAGCTCTGGCTGCCTCCCTCAGCCCCAACTCATGCTGGGGGCTTATTTATACTTTTAAAATATATTATCTGTCTATATATTACATTTTGTTTATATATTTATATCACCCCTGTGATACAAGCCCTTCCTGGGAGCTGTCTCCAGGCTGCCACCAAACCCCACCCCCAGCTTCTTGCTTAGACCCCTATTCCCCCAACTCCATCTCCCCAAGCCCCGGCAGCCCGCGGTGCCCCCACACGAAGCCACGCACGGAAAACGGAGGAGAAATGCCAAGGCAGTTTATTTACAACTGTTGTATACAAAAAAAATAAAATAAAATAAAATAAAAATAAAGGACAGCTC